GGGACCATGAAGAAAAAAGTTTGTTAGCGAGCTCGACGAGCACCATCATATTCCGATCAAATTCGTATCAAATTCGTGTCAAATTCGTATCAAATTCGTGTCAAGATCGTGTCAAATTCGTATCAAACTCGTATCAAATTCGTTGAGCAAGCGTTGCACCAAGTTCAAAAAGTTAAATCTGGGTAAAAAGTGGCAACACTGGTACGAATACTCTGCGACATGGAGCGCAGCATGAAGAGCCAATTTTCACAGTTCGTCAAAGCACGTTTAGGAGATAAAAATCTTGGCCGAGCGAGGCTGAAGGGTTGAAAAATGACGGGCTGAAAAGGCTATTTGCTCGCTTATTTCGTTTTCATTACCCCCGGGACCTGCGGCTTCGGGGCGCGATCCTTTTAAAGCGGAAATTCTCTTAAAATACCCTCCGCTTGTTTTGCTTCGCAATCGCTTCGTTAAAATAACACCCCGTCTCTCGCCTTGAGAGCCTTTCTCCCGCCGAACTTCGCGCATAAGCTGGTGACTCCCTTCGAGTTTGTGCAATTAAGTGACTCATCGCTTCAATTTTCATTATATTACTTTGGATTTATCCAATCCGTCCTTTTACTTCTACGTTTGTAGCGTCGGTTATTAAACAAATACCAGCAGCGCATTCTCCGAGAGTCTTTCGTGCCATCAGAACGCTGAGCTGCTTAGTGACAATGGAACACTGGCTAATACAAAATTTGAGGATACCCGAATATTGCCGTGCTAGGGAAGAACGCCGTATGAACATTCGAGAGTTGCCAAATTTCTCTGGATAAAACTATTATTTTTGAGGAAAGTTGTCGTGCTTATTTTCCCTTGAAATTTTAGTATATTTTAGATTGAATTGCGAGCAAATTTGCCTGAAAATTTTGAAGAAAAAGTTTAAAAATTTGCTCAGGAAATTTGTTTTTTATTGAAGTAAATGTGGCAACGGCTGAAGGCTTACACGGCGTTTTTCCTTAGCACGGCAGAATAAAGGTCTTACTGTGTCAGGAATTTGCGATTTTAATACTGATTACTGTGTAAAATTTTGCGAGAAACACGATTTTACCACTGGTTTTCTCTGAAATCAACTCCCAAGCTCAAAAAAACTCTCAAAGTTAAAGCCATAACGGAGGGGATATCCCACGCTACCATGAGAGTCCACCTACATATCTAGTCAAACTCTCCATGCAGAGATAGGGAGGAAATACATTAGCAGATTACGCATGAAATGAACGTATAACTTTCATGAAGTTCCGAAATGTTTTGCTATGATATATGCGGTGTTTGCCTTGCCTCATAGTAGCGTAAGTTACCATGAAAAAATTGCTACTGAAGTATTTCAGTTCTTTCCCGTGCACATGCATTTGGCATTTAGCAAATGATAAAATTAAAATCCTTGTCATGCAGCAATGGGCTAATTATGTTTCTTGTTTTATGGAAAATTGACCTTTGAAGTCATTGAATAATTAATAACAAGCACGCGTATGACCTTCATTTTGAGATTGTTGGTAGAGGTACAGTCAAACATTTGTTAAAGTATACGTGCATAAACTTGAATTCGGAAATTTGAAGGCCATGGTGTAATTTTCTCAAAGAGAATGCAGAAATTTCCAAATCAGTTTTGTAGCAATAAAAGATTTTGCGATGTTGAAGATAATTATAGTTGGATGAGGAAAGACGTATTCAAGACAACAATCTGTAAAGAAAGTAATATCCAATTTATCGAGGAAAGCCTTCATCTTCACCCAATGTTATCTTCAGAGACAATATATTTTAGAGACACCTCACAGGTATTTTTGCTTGTAGTGTCGTAACAGTTTATTTCGCGAATCAACGCTCAGATTCGACCAATGATGACGCATGACCAGGAACTTGGTCTAGGAATCCTAACTTAAGGTCTCGATAACGATCATATTCCCGAACCAATTACCATCAAAGTGTCGGGAGTCATCAGTCTTAAACTCGTTAATTTGCTTGAGTTTAAAATGAAAACTTAGCAGAAATGTTTCCTGAGGCAGGAATTGATGAATGGTGGCACTCCATTCTGATCTTACTTTGAAAAAAATAGTGCGGCTCGTCAAAATTTGATGGTAGATGGTGACCATCAGTCATCAGAATGTCTACTTTGATCGGATTTGGTTCGGAATTTGATCGTCTATCCAGGGCTTAAATTCGCGAAACCCGGCTAAGCAAAGTGCTCACCCCCACATCCATCAGGCATCGCATTGGGCAAATTTTTTTCGACTTTTTGCCCAACACGTTGCTCATCAACCATCATTAGGGGGACCAAAGCGGTGAGCTCCGAATTTAACTTTTGCCTCAGCTAATTACATTTTTGAGACTGTTAGTTCAAAGTCTCCAAAATATATTCTTCACAGTTATCTCATTTAAAATTCAAAAGCGCACTCTCTATAATCGTTTAATTAGCTGTCAAGATGTGACCCCCTCGCTCCGTCGCTGCGACAGCTTTTTCTGTGGTCTCAAATGACATCTCACGAAGGAGCCTAAATTTGCATCAGAGGGTAAGGAAAAGCGAGAAAAAAATCCCAACTCGATTCGGAGCGACCCCTCGTATAATCAAGCTATCATTTGCCCTCATCGCGACCTATTACAGGGACGAGAATCGTCCCATGTGTGAGTGTGCGCTCCAACAAAAACACCACAAGGGGTGGGGGGGGGTGCGAAAATAGTGTTATGAACCCATTATGATTGCAGCCCTTCGCGCGATAATAAAGTACGCGCAGTGATTAAACACAATGAGAGCACGTTAGCTCGGAAGCATGAATTATTCACGATTTATACATATAAGCGTCATATATATATATATATATATATACAAATAGGTGTTTTTATCCCGGCGGAGGGTGCTTAATTGTAACCGGTGGCCGTTGATTGGCGCGCGGATTTTTACAAGCGTGATGATTGGCCCCCGAGGGGTTGCGGGGTTGCGGGGTGCAGTTGCAGTCCCGAGGGGAGGCCAGAATAAATAGTTGTCATCTGCGCGCGTTTATAAAACGTCCCCTCTCGTATTTAAAGTTTTATTGGACCAGTTAGAATGGGAATTACAACCCTCGTCCTCTCGACCACCCTCCCTCCCCCTCTCAGCTCCGCGCTCGGCGCACGCTGGGCGAAAGTCGAGTTTTTACGGATGAAAATGGATGAATTTGACGTCTTTATGATAGAAGGAACTATGTGCATAGGGTTTGCATGCAACGTAGTTCCTTTTAGCATAAATACGTCCAATTTGACGTCTTTAAATCAGGAGGAACTATATCCATCCTGACATGAGCCTTAGGATCCATAAGAATACATGCATGACAGGGCTCATGTTATAATGTATATAGTTCCCTTTCATTTGAATACGTCAAATTACACAATGAGAAACGATGCTACCGTGCTGAGAATTAAACACCGTCATAGAGCATTGAAATGGTCCGGAAATGATTTCGATAGATACAGTATTTTCAAGAGGATTATTTTTCATATAAATTTCCAGAAATAGATAAATTTCGAGACAACTTTGTTGTACTTCAATTCAGGTTAAGGGTGAAAAGCAAAAGAGGGCTGATTGATGTTATTTTTTCTTTATGAGACCTTATGTAAGGTAACAATATTTAATAAGGATTGTCTGTAAATATACCGATTTTCAGCATTCGGCCCATTTTCGGTTTCATCCCATTCATTTTACGGTCTTGCCGAAAACTCGGTCCAAAAAGGTTTAAAAGAAAGCCTTCTATTCGCAGCAAATAATTTTGCTTCAAAAAAGAAAGACTAATGAAAGGGAAGGGAAACTATTTAAAGACATTTCTTCAGGTCCAGTTACACGATCAAATTGAGCCATCAAATTGGGCCTCTCATTGGTCGCATCCTCACCGCAGGTCTTCTTCCACCAATCAGAGCTTCAGTCTGATGGCTCAATTTGATCGTGTATCTGAACCTTTTGGATTTGTTTCCGTTTAACATCTTCCGATCTCGGCCCGCGGAACGAGAGCGCGGACAACTGCGCGGCGAGGTTGCGCCAGTTAGTAACTGGCAGAAATTCGTCTCTCTAAACTGGGCGAGCTTTTGATTTACATTAGACGCTCGTTTTGGCTCCGTTCCGGCTCCAGGCCTTGAAATGGCGGGCATCGCGGGATGCTGTGAATAGCGCCCAATTAAAGCCGCTCTTTTTGCCCCCCCCCTTCCCCACCGCCACCGCCGCCGCTCGTGGATGCGAGTTTAAGTTGCGCATTGCAGTCACCGACTCCGGATTATCCGTTCTTAATTTTCTAAAATCCGCCGTCCGATTCGGCGGGGGTAAAATATGCACGCGCACACAAATCAAGATCGAGTTACATTTCAAAATGAGGCGCCTGCACGCTCTTGAATCCGCGATTTTATGTACAGAGTGTTTCGCCGACTATACCTATAGTTTTAGTTTTTTCATCCTCTGGGTCCGTATCTTTAACGGATTGCGTTGAGCAAAAAGGAACCAAGTCACACCGGCTATTGTTTACTGGGGAAATTTAATTTTTACACAAAAACAGTTGTGCGGATTTTTGCGCATATTTTAGTGAGTTTTCTGCATAGCACGAAACAAATTCCTTAAAATTTTCAAAGGAATACACGCGTGCGTTCTCTCGTAAAAAATTATGGAGCGCCCAAGCAAGCCTTTCTTAACCACACTTAGCACACCACAACATAACCTAACCTAACCAAACTTAACCTCACCTAACCAAACCTAACCTAACCTAACCTCGCCTAACCAAACTTGACCTAACCTAACCAAACCTTACCTCACCTAACCAAACCTAACCTAACCTCACCTAACCAAACCTAACCCATTCAAAACCCGCCCGCGACCAAAATAAGGCTCAGATAAAATGTGTTAATTTCATATACAAATGTGTCATATCACAGCTTTTGAAGCGCACCTAACTTAGTCTGATAGCCATCGTCGATGGTTGATACCACAGAAGACGCGTTGATTTTAACGTGAATTTTCTTTGTTGCAGGTGAAAGTTTGGTTCCAAAACCGGCGGACGAAGCACAAGCGGATGCAGCAGGAGGAAGAAGCGAAGGCGCAGCAGTCCTCGGCCAACAAGAACTCGCACCACGTCAACAAATGGAAGCAGGAGACGGCGCAGTCGGCCAACAATAACAACAACAACAACGAGGCGAGCCCGACCAATGAGCGACCGCCCTCGAGTCAGTACGGCACCGACGCCGGCCCAGGACCAGGGCACGGACGCTACGGCTCCGAAAGCCCGACCCACCTCAGGCACCGCGAGTACAGCGAGGGGTGTAGCTCTGGCTCCGAGGCGTAGGTACCGTCGGGAGAAGAGGGAGTAGCGCCGTGATGATCTTAGAACACGGGAAAAATGAAATTGCTGATTTGAACATTTTGCAGTTCAAAAAAGTGCCCGACATTCAATGTAAATCACGGAGAAAATGGACCGCGTTTAACAGAAAGGAACCAAGCTACATGAGCTATGGCCAATTTTAACTGGGCAATTTAATTTTTTACGAGAAAACGTTTGTGCGGATCTCTTTGAAAATGTCAAGGAATTTGCTTCGTAATATGGAGAAAATTCACTGAAATTTGAAAATCCGCACAACTGTTTTCATGTAAAAAATTAAATTTGGCAATAGCTGATGTAGCTTGGTTCCTTTCTGTTTAACGCGGTTCAAATAGAACTATGCCGAGCACCAACTTTGCTTGAACTTCTGCCGGATGTGGTAAAGCGCAGGAAAACATGTTGCCTAGTAGAGGAAGTAAGTGCGGAAGCACAGGAGGAATGTGCTTAGGACAGTCGGCGACTGTGCTCAGAACAGTCGCCGGCTGTGCTGAGGTGCAGATTCTGGTGTTCAGCGCGTTTCAATTTTCTCCGTGATTTTACAATAAAAAATGCTCATTTATCCGCCCTCGTGGTTAAATGCTTTCCACTATTCTGCCGTGCTTAGGAAGAACGCTGTATGAACATTCAAGAGTCGCCGAATTGCCTCCAATAAAATTTTTATATTTTAGGATAGCTATGGATATTTATCCTTTAAATTTTCAGGAGCTTTTGGTGAAATTGTAAACAAAATTATCTGAAAAATTTGAAGGAAAATATCCACAAGTTTACTAGGAAATTCGTGTTTTATCAAAGGGAATTTGGCAACAGGCTGAAGATTTATACGGCGTTTTTCCCTTGCACGGAAGTATTGTAAAATGTACATTTGAAACCAGTCGGACATACTTTCTTTTACAATTTAATTGTTAAATCAACAATCCATTTTTATCGCGATAACCATGTTGAAACAGTGTTTCAGTCTCCCTCACGGCGAAACCACTTTCCTCGCAGGCCGGGCCAAACTTAGCTGTGTTTCAATTTTACCTAGGTGTAAGTAATACTTTGTTCCTTTTCGTAGGTTGTAGGTTTTTAGCCGGTCAATGAGTTTTATGAGTTTAAAATGTCCATCATTTGTGACATTGACGCCAAAGGCGCATAAAAAATTGAAAGCAAAGGGATAGTTTTTTAATCTCCTATCATTCGGATACTAATTGTAAAGTCAAAAATACATAATGTGGTATGAAAAAAAAATCGAAAATATGTTGTAAAAAGCAGCCTGTTGTCGTTCTCTACAATCTATGGTCCGAAAATCGTTTCGCAGCAATTTTCGGAAGTTGGCAACACTAGATTTTACATCCATTTAAAGCTATTTAAAATGATCGATATCTATCGAGGCAGCCTCGCTCAAGATCGATCATTAATAACGCATTTGTATGGAGGAAAATTAATGTTACCAACTTCAAAAAATGCCATTCCAATTGTGCAAAGCGATTGAATAATGACGACAGTTATGCTTAGCATAATAATTCTCTCAATTGTAATATTTGTTTAAGTTAAAGTTACCACTGAAACTGTGTCTCTTCGAGACAAGAGCCGGAGATTTAAGTTTGTTGTGCAATCACGAATTTAACGAGCGAAGTATTAATGATCGTCGAAACTTTAGAGACTCAGTCACGCTTTTGTACGCAAATTACACGTAGTTTGCACCGAATGAGGCGCAAACATTATCTCCTATTACGCAACAATACGATTTTTTTCAATACCTCGGTACGAAAATGAATGAATATCATCGAAATTTTCAAGCTCAAAGCATGCCCTACGATTAACAATATCTTCGTGTGGGTCTTTAAAATTAAAAGCCTCTTTGAATGATACGGCACTCGACTTTCATATCGTCTGATATTACTCGATGTGATAAAAATCAATGTTTTTTCAGACAGTTATACATGACTTGTGGTTATTAAATTCGCGCGTCAAGTTTCCTCAACGGTCCAGTTTCAGTTTTTTTTAATGACATGATTTTCAATGGCGTATACATTGAAAAAAAGGTATGGTTAAATTTAAAATATTATTGGTGTTTCATATTGAGTCTTGAATCTTGACTAAAAGTGATCATAATATAACCATTAAAATGTTGGTCGTTTTAAATTACAAGAGTAACATTATGACTTAATGGTAAAAATGTACGATTATCGTTGGTAATGGCTACTACTAATCAGGAGCCCCTAACGTAGTAATTTTAACCATAGTTTTTTCTTAGTGTAGGTAATTTCAAACGCAAGTATCAGGACTGGACACGAAAGTGGATTATATTATGCGATAAGGGACCACTATTTTTGGCCCACTTTAAAAACAACATATGCGCTATAGGTTTCCCTATGCAGATATGTGCCTTTTTGAGAGAGCCAGAAATAGTGGTTCCTTATTGCAAAATGTAATCTAATTGCACGTCCGTTATGTGGACCGCATTTTGCAATAGGGAACCACTATTTCTGGCTCAATTAAGAAACAACATGTATGCCATTGGTTTCCCTATGCAGAACGGTGCTCTTGTGGAGGAGCCAGAGAGAGTGGTTCCTCATTGCAAAATGTAATCCATGTATCATACTGATAATAATTACAGTTGTGTTGAGATAAAATCAACACGACATGTCTGTCACGTTACTTGTGAACCATCAAGACGCCCTACAGACATTTTGGTGGAACCAAAAGATTAATTGACACCCCCCCCCCATTCCAAAAAAGGGGAAAATCAAATAATAGCCATAGAGTAGAACCTCGGAGAAGATCATCGCTCAACAAATGCCCCGGGTTAATTTTCCGTTAATTTTTTAATGAACAAGTATTTAAAGCCGCCCCATGAATCAAACTCATAATTGGCCGAACCACGAGAGATAAAAACAATTACCGGCGAATTTCCCGGCCGACGTTATTGTTCTCAACCCCCGGGTCCCACCCCCCACCCCCCGCCCCCCCAGCAGATCCATTATCCGTTTTCCGGGAGAGTTAGCAATTCTAACAGGGGGATAATCGTTTCAACCCCATTAAAGTGCGCAGCGTCACCGGGCTCTGTTGACTCTGTTGATTGTTGCGGCCCGTTGCCGGTTCCCGCTCTATGATAAAATTCGCCTCCCCCCAAGTCCTAAGGAAAAGCGGCGTTCAAGCGCTCGAACGTTGCCAAATTTCAACACTAAATTTGAGAAAAATATGAATATTTTTGCGTGGAATTTTCGAAAAGTCTTGATTAAATCGTGAGTATTAATCTACAGAAAATACGAAGAAATTAATTTAAACCTTTTCTTTGAAAATTCATATTTGATAGGAGGATATTTGGCAACACTATGAGCGTCATACGACGTTTTTCCTCAGCACAGCAGACGTTTTTGTTTAGATGAGTTCATTTGGCAACAATGCTGTCGAGATTTTCGGGTGGCTTTGTTACCCCCAGCGCCCTATCACGTGGCGGAACTTCCGGCAATTTATTAGCCCTTCTCGAGGTTGCCAGACCGTCTCAAATAATATGAATGTTTTGTCGTAAGTTACACGGGGAAAATCCTACTTTTTTTAGCAGATTTGCCCACTCTGGCTCTCCACAGCCTAGACGACCGCAGCGCAATTTCCAGAATTTGGAAATTCTGCTGCTCTAGGAGTATTCTACAGAGAGAATGTTTTATGATATGTTCAAGTAGGCGCTTTGTACAAGTGATGACGGTGAAAATACACGCGGAAAAAAGAAGAAGAAAACAAAAGAATGATGGATTTAATATTATGCATTGTTATTGTTTCCTAATATGAAATTCTGCTCTCACTTTTGCTAATTTTTACGCCAATAATTTTAACTATTTCTTTTACATTATTTTCATGCAGTAGGTATCATTCAAGGAGGCTTACCGAGTCGATTTTTTCCCACACGTTACAACCTAATTTTTAAAAATAAAATAACTATCTAGAAATCTGTTTTCATTAGATATCATTTGTTTGTGTCCAAAGAGAAAAAAGCTGAGTAGCTTCCAATTTTTATCCTGACATAATGTTTAAACTCAAAAAATGTGATAGATTGTACAGAATCAATGTGTATTTTAATTAAATTATAGTATATTCACGAATAATGAATGTCTAAATGACGAGAAGAAATGAATTATGTGCCAAAAATTACTTTTAATTATTGTAAAAATTGAAAATTTAGGTTAGCTTATTTATTTTGTTCCCTGCTTGATCAATTATCTAGTGAACTCCTGATTATTATGTTTTCTATGCTAAGACTGCGAGAATGTATGACATCTAAGTTCCCTGTTTTTAAAAAAACATAAATTTAGCAGAAACGTAAAACAATGCCATAGTTTCTCTCTTACTTACAATAATTTAAAAACAAACCCCTATTTTTTATATTTAAGCTGTGTTAGCTTGGTTTAAATAAAATAAAAGCAGATGCACACCTGAAGAGAAGACGTAAATGTTCAAAAATGATATTTACATAATTCGGTTGGAATTTATCAACCAGTTGGAGCGCAAAGGCTCCAAAACAAAATTTTGCTTAAAAAATAAATAAATAAATAATGAAAACGGAGATTTTGAACGACTGCAAAGTAGTTGCGCGTTTTTGCAATTTCACCTTGAATATTCGGTTTTAAATCGACAGATTCATATTCATGCCAAAAATCAGTGGAAAAAGTTTCTGCTTCAAATCACGGCGCAAAAGATAACGTATAGTGTTATCTGCCCTTTATTTTCAATTAACGCAGTTATCTAATTTGATAAGTACTGCATGACACTGATTTATTATGTAATGATTCACGAATCTCACCTTACACACACAGATTACCTTAATAATAATCGGAGTTTAGACGCCAGAACACGGAATCACTCACACTTCATAGGGGTACTTCATATTTCGATTAATTTTTTGAGTAAAAATGTTTTCAATAAAAGCTTGTCCTACCGGATCTTAGCATTCTTTGTTCGTCGTCACACTTGCAAATATCATTTACGCAAATGAATACATTCATTACATACATGACAATGTGCCCCCGTTAAATATGATTAGAAGTCAACAAAATGATAATTAAATTTCCCGTAAATAATTTCTGAAATGCATTT